CCCTTGTAACATGTGTAGGGGAAGTGCTCTCCCTGAGGCCTTGAAGAGCCACTGCGAGCCACAGCAGAAGTCCATCCAGGAAGGAGAGAGGGATCAGGAGCAATTGCTCAGGGCCTTTGGACCAGCTGTGAGAAGAGCTATGCGACCAGAAACACCCCTTCACCTGAAGGATTTGTGACGTGTTAAAGGATGAAGCCAGTGCTGGCCACAATGAGTCATGAGAACTACATATGGCTTCCAGCAACCGTGACAGAACTATGTATCTCAATACCAGCTGGTGGGAAGCAAGAGAAGGAGGTGGCTATCACAGAGCCACACCCGGCTTCTGGGGTTCCTGGGGGCATTTGTGATTGAAGAAACTCTGGGACCACACGAGCTTAGGATCCGATCTTTATTTTATTTATTTATTCATTCATTCTATTTATATCCCGCCCATCTGGTCAAGCGAGGACCACCACGTCGCCTCCAATGGATGGCAACCCCATGAATGAGCGATCTCCAAAAAAAAAGTCAGGTCCTGCAGACTCAGGCTTGTGGCTTCCTTTAGGGACTCAGTCCATCTCCATATTTGGTCTTCCTCTTCTCCTGCTGCCTTCCACCTTTCCCAGCACCAGTGACTTTTCCTGAGAATCTTTCCTTCTTAGGAGGCGCCCAAAGTCGGGCAGCCTCAGTTTCAACATGTTTGCCTCCAGAAAGAGGTCAGGCTTTGATCTGGGACCCATTTGCTGGTCTTTCTTGCACTCCGGGGTTTTGACAAAGCTCTCCTTCAGCACCATTTTTCAAACAAATCATTTTCTTTCTCAGCTTTTTTTCCTGTTCGGCTTTCACACCCACGACTGGAAATACGTATGCTAGTGTGGATGCTCTTGGTCTTTGTCTGATCTGACCTAGCCCACTTTTTTCTTACACTCTTGTGACAAGATCTCACCCGCCCCCTTCAGAAGAGAGGCAGTGTATCGAGAACAACTTTGTGAACTACAGAATTTAATGAGAGAAGCAACAATGGTCACATAAAACCTACAGTATAGTCTGTACACAACACACCAAACGGAAAATCCTGCGGGCGGGGACACTGAACCTCCTGGCCATCTTATCTTCTCTGGGTTGGCAAAAGTGAGAGAAAAACAACAGTGGATATTAAAGAATGGGATTTATTTAAAAACAAGCTAAGATATGATACCCCTTCACAATGCAATGCATTTCCACAAACACATTTCAACAAAGTGTCATGAGGAAGGGCTTTCAAACAGCCGGCTATCCTTCCGAGGAGACCAGTTGAAGCTACAAAATGTCTTCACAGGCCTGAAAGATCCTGTTGTCTCTTTAATTCTTCTGAGCTACGTCAGCACCCAACCCTACCTGAAGTTTTGCCCCACCTCTGAACATTCATAACCGTGGTCCCTTGTATGTGTTCTCTGGTGTTTAATAAGAGATTTCTTATCAATAAAGCTTTTGTCACAATCACAACACCGGTAGGGCTTCTCCCCTGTGTGGATTCTCGTATGCGAAACAAGGTTTCCTTTCTGACGGAAGCTCTTCCCACAGGCCGAGCATTTATAGGGTTTCTCTCCCGTGTGAACCCTTTTGTGGTTTACAAGCAAAGAGCTAGTATTGAAGCTTTTCCCACACTCAGAGCATCCATAAGGCTTCTCCCCTGTATGGATTCTTGTATGTTTTGTAAGAGATGATTTGACCCGAAAGCCCTTCCCACAGATTGTGCACTGATACGGTTTCTCCCCGGTGTGGGTCCTTTTGTGCGTAATAAGGTTTGATTTTGAGTTAAAGCTTTGTCCGCAGTCCGAACACGTGTACGGTTTCTCCCCTGTGTGGAGCCTTTTATGTTCAATAAACTGAAAGCTAGTGCTGAAGCTTTTCCCACAGTCAGCGCACTCGTAGGGTTTCTCCCCAGTATGGATTCTCACGTGTGAGACGAGGTTTCCTTTGTTAACGAAACTTTTTTCACAGGCGGAACACTTGTAGGGTTTCTCCCCCGTGTGGGTTCTCGCGTGCATCATCAAGGATGTGCAATGAGAGAAGGCTTTGCCACACTGGGAGCATTTGTACGGTTTCTCTCCGGTGTGAATCCTCATGTGGGAGACGAGATTTCCTTTCTGGCTGAAGCTCTTCCCACAGTCGGAGCACTGGTACGGCTTCTCTCCCGTGTGGGTCCTCTCATGGGTGACAAGATGGGATTTCTTACCAAAGCTCTGCCCGCAGTCAGGACAGGCGTAGGGGTTCTCTGCCATGTGGGTCCTCTTGTGTGCCGTGCGATTTAATTTCAAATCGAAACTCTGGCCACAGTCTGAGCATCTATAGGGCTTCTCCCCAGTGTGTACTCATACATGATCAATAAAGTCACCGCTGTTACTAAAGCTTTCCCCACAATCTGTACATTTGTAGGATTCCTTTCCAGTGTGGATTCTCCCATGGGTAACCAACTGGGTTCTCTCATAAAGCCTCTCACAGCATTGATGTAGCTCTCCCCCAGCTTGCGCACCCTCATTTTCAAGGCATTCAAAACTCTCAGGAAAGCTTTTCCTATAATCTGTGCCTAAATTTTCTTCCTCTAAGGATCCCTTCTTGAACTGTTCTTTCACTTAAATTCCCGCCTCGGTCTTCGCACGGAAGCGTCTCTTCTGTCCTTCATCCCAGCTGACTTCCAGGCATGTTTTCTAACTTTAAAAACTATTCTTTTGGATAATATTGGGACAGAAGCTCAGAAACTCCTCATTTCCCCAGTTGGAAACCATCCTCTTTGTTGTTCTACACTGAATCATAATCTATGGAGGGAAAGCAGAGAGAAGGAGAGAAAAGGAATTAAGCATTGATCAAATTGAGAATTGTTTCTATGTATTTAGTAATCAGATAAAGCAGGGTGGATGAAAACAACAATTAAAAAAATATTTAAATTTTATGATTTTTAAAAAAATTTAAATTGTGAAAAAAGACAATTTAAAAAAATGTAAACTATGATCTACATTGTGATTTTAACTGGTTTATTTAAATCAGATCCACCCGGCCACAAAGTAAAAATTAAAGGAGGAAACATTGATTTGTACAGAAGAAAAATAAAAAACTTAAATTTGAATCCAACACTGCACACAGTTCTTAGCTGTTTGGCTAACGTATTATTATTAGTTTTATTTATACAGTTCAGCATAGCAAACTGTACTTTAGATGAAACTAAATGAGACATGATTAGCACAATTGGCTCATGACTTCTTTTTAAAGAAATGCAAGTATGTCTCGCCAGTCAATCTAGATCAGGGGTGAGCAATTAATTTCTATAAGGGGGCCACATGAAAAATCTGAACTGTGTTCGGGGGCCGAACCAACTTTACTTAAAAATAAAATGAAACAGTGATGTTATGATTGTCTTTATTTTAAACTTGTTAATCTTTACAAATACTAAAGAGGTTTTTTGCAGTACGTTAAAGATAAGCAACTGATCAACTTTAGACAAAAAAGCAACTGAACAACTTTAGACAAAAAGCTATAAATTGTTTTGATGTTCAGCTTGTTCAGTGAGAGAAATCCAGCCTGTCTTGGGCTTGAACAAATGCTTGAACACTGGACTGGAGCAATGACCAGCGGGCCGAACGGGAACGGCTCGTGGGCCATATGTGGCCCTTGGGCCACACTTTACCCAGGTCTGATCTAAGATCAGGGAGGCATGGACCGAGAGTAAACATTGCAAGTGCACAAACGGGCTACTAAGTCTTGTGGATGGATGTCTATGACAGCCATAAGACATAACATGTTGTCCCCTTTCTCCTCTTGCCTTCACACATAGGGATGTTGTAATGTAAAGCAGTGGTCCCCAACCTTGGGCCTCCTGATGTTCTTGGACTACAACTTCCAGAAGCCTTCACCATCATCTCTGCTAGCCAGGATTCCTGGAAGTCTTAAAAACATCTGGAGGCCCAAGGTTGGGGACCACTGAGGATACAGCAGAGATGCACACACGAAGGGGTCCCGAAGCTTAGAAAGGACCCTGTGAAGGCTAACCCTTGGTGTGTGTTTTCCCCCCTCCTTCCTTTTCCCTCCTAGGGAAGTTCTCCTACCTCCATCAATACATAATCTTGCAGCCGCTCTTTTATCTAAACCTTACTGCTGCAGATTAGCCCAGCCCTTCCAGTCTGCCTTTAATCCCTTACCCAGATTCTGGTTTCTCTCTTTAGCTCACCTGCTCCATCCGATCTCTTTGCATCACATCTGCAGCACGACATCCCAAAAAGAGGCAATCCCCACCTGCATGGGAGGTCCCAGGGGTGGACCCATGGAGGAGCCGGAACAGGAAGAGAACCTACTCTTGTTGACATCGCTCTGCAGCCGCTCTAGGACCTGAAGCTTCTGTTGTGTTAACTCTTTAATTTAAAGCAAATCTGTGATACACACTGCCGTTGGGCCCCAACCTTGGGTCCCCAGAGGTGCTTGGACTACGTCGTCGTCGTTTAGTCGTTTAGTTGTGTCCGACTCTTCGTGACCCCATGGACCAGAGCACGCCAGGCCCTCCTATCTTTTACTGCCTCCCGGAGTTGTGTCAAATTCATGTTGGTTGCTTCGATGACACTGTCCAGCCATCTCATCCTCGGTCGTCCCCTTCTCCTCTTGCCATCACACTTTCCCAACATCAGGGGCTTTTCCAGAGAGTCTTCTCTTCTCATGAGATGGCTAAAGTACTGGAGCCTCAGCTTCAGGATCTGTCCTTCCAGTGAGCACTCGGGGTTGATTTCCTTTAGAATTGATAGGTTTGTTCTCCTTGCAGTCCAGGGGATTCTCAAGAGCCTCCTCCAGCACCACAATTCAAAGGCATCAATTCTTCGGCGGTCTGCTTTCTTTATGGTCCAGCTCTCACTTCCATACATCATGACAGGAAAAACCATAGCTTTGACTATTCGGACTTTTGTTGGCAAGGTGATGTCTCTGCTTTTCAATATGCTGTCCAGATTTGTCATCGCTTTCCTCCCAAGAAGAAGGCGCCTTTTAATTTCTGGGCTGCTGTCTCCATCTGCAGTGATCATTGAGCCCAGGAAGATAAAATTTGACACTGCCTCCATATCTTCCCCTTCTATTTCCCAGGAGGTGATTGGACCAGTGGCCATGATCTTAGTTTTTTTGATGTTGAGTTTCGGACCGTTTTTTGCACTCTCCTCTTTCACTCTCATTACAAGGTTCTTTAATTCCTCCTCACTTTCTGCCATCAGAGTGGTATCATCTGCATATCGGAGGTTGTTGATATTTCTTCCGGCAATCTTAATTCCGTCTTGGGATTCCTCCAGTCCAGCCTTCCGCATGATGTATTCTGCATATAAGTTGAATAAGCTGGGGGACAATATACAGCCTTGTCATACTCCTTTCCCAATTTTGTACCAATCACTTGTTCCATATCCAGTTCTAGCTGCTGCTTCCTGTCCCACATATAGGTTTCTCAGTAGATAGATAAGGTGGCCAGGCACTCCCATTTCTTTAAGAACTTGCCATAGTTTGTTGTGGTCCACACAGTCAAAGGCTTTTGCATAGTCAATGAAGCAGAAGTAGATATTTTTCTGGAACTCTCTGGCTTTCTCCATAATCCAGCGCAGGTTAGCAATTTGGTCTCTAGTTCCTCTGCCTCTTCGGAATCCAGCTTGTACTTCTGGGAGTTCTCGGTCCACATACTGCTGTAGCCTACCTTGTATGATTTTGAGCATAACCTTGCTAGCGTGTGGACTACAACTCCCAGAAATCCTGGCCAACACCTCTAATGGTGAAGGCTTCTGGGAGTTTTAGTCCGAGAACATCTGAGGACCCATGACTGAGAACCACTGGGATACAGTGATGGACTAGGACTCTGGGGAGCAGGGTTCGAATCCCCCCCTCAGCCATGGAAACTCACTGGGTGAGTGAGAGTGGTAAAACTACTCCATAAATGTCTCACTTTCCTTGAAAGCCTTATTAAAGTTGCTATGAGTGTATTTCGACTCGAAAGCACAGAACATGTTAAAAAAAACACTAGATATTGTGCTGCCTGGGGTAGCCCAGCAAAGGGCACGCCTGAAAAAGCACCAAACCCAAAATATTTTGGATGAGATCCTACGGCTTAGTGTAGTAAATCACACTAGAGTTGTTGCTGCTGCTTTTGTTTCCATTAATTAGCCCTCCAGTTAGCTCAAACCAGTGTTGCACGCCATTTCCTTGGTATCAACTGTTATTATGTGCTGCCAGGTTGCTGTCAACTTAACAGCTATCGTATGGATACATGACTTCCAGAATATCTCGTCTTTAAGCGCCCTGCTCAGCTCTTGTAAGCCCAAGACTGTGGCTTCCTTTATGGAATCAATCTATCTTGTATTCGGTGTTCCTCTTTTCCTGCTAGGGTATAATCTATTTTTAAATAAACGTCCATAGTTTTGCATCACAGCCCTGGGTGGTGGGGGGGGGCATTTTATCCTCTGACCTTTAAAGTTTGGGATGATTTTACCAGCAATCAGAAATCAAAACTCCCTGCACCAATCTTGTGGCCTGCTACAACTCTCCCACAATACAATAGGTCTCAGGGCAGCCTGAGATGGGGGTGGGGGTGGGGCTTGAAAAATTATAATTTCTATAGGTCAGAAATGCTGAAGGTCATTTGTATATATCTAAGCAACAACACTGCCAAGTTCAATATTTATTGCATTCACAGCCCTTTGATCCATGACTGAATAGGGACCGTTATAGTACATCTGCAGTCTTCGTCTGCCTGCCAAAGCCAGTGCACCCTGTTTCATGAGTCAGTAACCCAGATGTGGCCTGGACACCTGGCCAAAATCCCACCTTAAATCTGATGTCTCTAAGCCAGCAATAATATTCTAGGGAATTTGTGGGCACAGTCCCAGGATTGGATGGGCCATCTACCTCCAAGTGGTCCATGATGATGGAAGCTGATGCACCAATGCCAGCAGGACATCCGTCAGGGACCTCTGGAGAAGCCACACCGTGCTAGGCTTTAGACTCAAGAAGTTATTTTCATTCACTTCTATCTGGTGAGAAATTGGCTGGATAGCTCAGTGGTTTAGATACCTGGTTGGAGAGCCAGAGGTTGGGAGTTTGATTCCTCCTCTGTGCCTCTAGGGAGAAGATCCAACCTGTGTGGCCTTGGGCAAGCTGCATAGTCCCAGGGCTCCCCCCAGAAGAAAGGGATGGAGAACCAATTCTGAGTATTTTCTACCTGGAAAACCCTTTAAAGGGCACATGATAATGATGACCAGGTGAGAAGGAGAGAGTTCCCC